TACCCCCTCCCTCAGCCCCCTCCCCCTCGAGCCTGCAGGGTCCTTTCTGGCCTTGCAGCTTCTTTGGCTCCTGGAACACAGATTCCGGCTCCGGCCAAGCCCACGGGCAAAGGAGGCCGCAAGGACTTCCTTCCGGGACGTGCGGGGTAGAGACCCGGACCCCGACGGGGTGAGGTCCCGGCGGCTGGCGGCCTGAGAGGAAGCCTCTTGCGCGGCTGGCCCGCTGCTGTGAGGACTTCAGACAGCGCACAGTTAATACTGAGTTCCCTGCAGCTCCTTGTAAATCTCGCCCCCCACCCTTGCCCCCTTTTAAATCCTTGGTCGTGTTCGCGATTTTTTACTTGACGTAAAATTCCTTGTTACCTAATCGTGGCCTTTTCCCCAAAGGCCCTCCCTTTCCCCACCGACTGCTTGGACGAGAATCCGCACTCCCCCCCCACCCCAAACCGATATTACAAGCAAAAACCTCCCCTTCTCCTTGCCTTTCCTTGGATGAAAGCCCTGCATTTTGAATTATAAACTCCAGACTCGTTCCTGCTGCTGCAATAACGCCTGGGGTCCTTCTCAAACCTGCTGCATGGAAAACGCGCTCCCCAAACAAAAACCGGAGTCCCCACTCAGTGGCATCAGGATGATTTCAGAAAAACAAGGACGCCTTTCCACCTTCGGAGCAAACTGCAGTGGCCTTTGTCCGGCCCAGGCCTTCCTTCTGCAGGCCGCTCAGCGTTCTCCCGGGCCTGGGAGAGACAGGGCGGGGCACGGACGCGGGCAGAGCCAGGTCCTCAGGCAGGATTCTCCCCAAGGACGCGTCTTTCTAAGGGAACCTTCTCGGGCCGAAGAGCTGGGAGCTCGTGTAGGTGACTGGTCGGAACCACTGACTCTTTCAAATAAAGTTAGAGGCAATCATGATAATTTAGTTTACTTCTGAATATTTTAAATATCATGAAAACAAGTATAACAGTTCTGTTTTCAAAACTCTTTTGAGGTATCAGCCATTAAAAGATGGGGGGTTTTGTAAAAAAAAACACACAGTGGTTTATTGAATACTTACAACGTTTACACCTTCAATATTAATTAAATTCCACTTAGTCTTAGAGGACGGAAGTGCACAAAACAAGTAGCTGTTGGAAACATCTTCCAATAGGGAACGACCACAGATGAATACAGCGACCCCAACGGAAATGCTAGCGGCCCCGCTTTCTGCTTTGAAATAAAAACTTTATAATCCCCAGGAATATTTATATCCAAAGGCCAAGTATTAAAGGTACACTTCACGTACACACTATTGCCCGCTCTTTATCGGGAAGGGGTTGGGTAGGTGGAGAGGGGACAGCGCTGGTGTCTACACAGCCAGAAGGGAACATTCACACACAGGAAGCTACAAGACGACGGGGTCCCTTACCACGCGGGAGTGTCCTCTTCATATTAAAATATGGAATGCTTTTCTTCAAATATCCACTTTTTTTTGGAGGGGGTGGTGGGGAGCGGATGCCTCAAAGGGGGGGGACAAAGGAGGGGGGCAAATTGCACATAAATAAACCGGATGATTCCAAATGCAAGAAGTCCTCAGAGCGGAGCGCGGGCGCTTGCCCGGGGCGCTGGGCCTGCGCCGGGCTGCGGGCCCCGGCTCACCCCCGCTCTGCGGCGGCTCCTCCCGCTCACTGCTTGAGCTCCAGCGCCCACACGTGCTGCGGCCAGCCCGTCCGGCCTTTGGTTTTCTTGTCGTTGCTGCTCACTGTGCTTTTCAAGATTTCGTTCTGGGCAGAGGGGAGGCGAGGGAGAGAAAAGCGGAGACAGAAATTGAGAGAAAGGCCTGGTCCCCGACCACCCCCCACTTCCCAGGACAGAAGACGTGAGAGAGCGAGGAAGGGACAGGAGGGACGAGGCTTCAAGTCCGAGCCTCTGCGGGAAGCTGCGAAGTCCTGCGCGGCCCTCGCCGGCAGCCCGGGCCTCCGCGCCCGCCACGCGCAGCTACCGGGTCGGCCGGTTTATCAACAACTTCCCGTCCCCGGCTCGCTGACGGAGGCGCCCCGGGCCTTTTCCCTGCCTCCAGATGTGGGCGCGCGAGCGGGGGTCGGCGCTAAATCTGGTTCTCCTGATTTCGACCGCGAACTGGCCCAGGCCCGCGCTGCGGGGCAGACGCGAGGCTCCCTCCGGCCCGGCGTGGACCCGCGGCCGCGGCTTCCAGCCTCCGGCTTGGCAGCGCCCCTCCCCCAAGGGCCTGAAATCCCGGGTCATTCCCGAGGTCGCTCGGCGCAGCGACGGAAGAGCCCAGGCCTCAAGAAGGAAAACTCGACAATTGGGATCATTTTCCAGGCCTTGCGTGACAAAGCTCTGCTCTGAGCCATCTTACGGCCACTTGGTAGGAACTTGAGAAAACTTTCAGTTCCAATTTTGTCTTCTTGTTAACAATAACAGCGACCGTATTTACTGTTTGTCTTAATGTACAGGCTCATGCAAACAAGACCAGAAATACCTCTGAAACACTCTCATCTGGGGAGTTACGTTTCAACCTCATTGCTAAAGAGAAACTGGAACTGCATTTTGAAGTTAAAAGTACTTAATTGGTTAACTTTTACGTCTTCCGGGCATAGTAATGAGAGCAACCACGGAACTCTTTGAGGATCAGTGCAGCCTCGTTCTCCAGGGGGAAATGGGATCAATAGTAAAGTAACTGGAATAGAGCGCTTCTGGGCGACTCAGAAATATCTGAAAGACAGGATTGGAGGCCAGATGACGGCTGTAGAGGGCACCGAATGAGGGGGCCCGGCCGGTGGGACGGATCATTCGGGGTGCTGAGACCGCAAGGCCTGCTCAGCTGGGGGATCCCCATGCCCCGGGCAGAAGATCCCCGGCGCAGCAACCCCGTCAACCTCCGCCTCCTGCTGACACCCTCCCCCGCCGACTCCGCTCCGGCGGGAAGCCGTCCCTACCAGAACGGGTCGCAACAGCCCTGGCAGCCAGAGAAGGCGGATGTCATTGCTCAGCCCGGTTGGAAAGAGACCGGAGCACCGCTCCTCCGAGCCCCGCACCCCGCTGCCCCCTATTACTGACCAGCTCCTTCTTCCTCTTCTCTTCTTTCACATCTGTCTTCTTGATCTCCGCCTTGAAGGCCTCCGCCTCGCCGTTCTGGTCGTCCTTGGCCAGCAGGTCCATGAGGTAGGCGATGTAGCTGGTGGCCAGGCGCAGCGTCTTGATCTTGGAGAGCTTGGTGTCGGCGGGCACGTTGGGGATGCACTCGCGCAGCTCGGCGAAGGCGCTGTTGATGCTCTGAGTCCTGCGCCTCTCCTTGCGGTTGGCGGTGCCCCGGCGCTTCACCGGGCGCGGCCCCCCCAGGCCTGGGGGCCCGGCGCCCGGCGGCACCCCCGCGTAATGGGAGTGGTCCAGGCCGGCGGCGCCGCTGGCGTACTCGGGGCTGTAGGACAGGGCCATGCTGTAGTCGGGGGGCGACATCTCGGGGTGGCCGATGAGCCAGCCGTGGAAGTAGGGGTTCTCCTCGTGGCTGCAGCGGCTAGCGGCGGCGGCGGCGGCGGCGGCAGCGGCGGCGAACGGGTAGCCCTCATGGTGCACCACCGGATGGTGGGGGAAGCCCCCCACCAGACTCATCTCGCCCTCGGCGCCCCTCCACGCGCCCCAGCGTGCGCGCAGCCCCGCCGCGCCCTCGGTCCGGGCCCCCGCTTCGGCGCTCGGCGGCCGCCCCCACCCCCCGCCCCCCAGCCCCCCGGCGCCGGGGCCGGCCCGGCAGCCGCACAGGGGGCTGCTGCAGCCCGGGCCCCGGGCCCCCGGCTGGCCCGCACGGCCCGCCTCAGCAGCGCCGCGGCCGCCGGCTCCCCATAGGGCGCGGCGAGCTGGCCCCGGCACCGTGCGCCCCCGGCCGCCGCCGCCGCCGCCGCCGCCGGCTCCCGCCTTGCTCCACGGCCCGCGCGCCGGCCGCTGCTTCCCGGGCTGCTGCAGGGAGGCAGGATCCTCTCGGGCTCATGCAAAGGTGCCCGCGCTCCCGCGAGGCCGCTTGGCGGGGTCGCCGGGCTCCGGCGCCCGGGCCGCGCGCGCTCCTGGACCGAAGCTCCCTCGGAGTCCCGGGCCGCGTCCGACCGCGGTTGCAGGGGCCGGGCCGGCTCTGCAGGGAGGCGGCGGTGTCGACTGCTCGCCGGGAAGCCACCTCCTGGCGACGCTCCCCTTCCCGTCCCCTCCCCTCCCCCCACCAGCTCGTCGTGGGCTCTCGGGTGCGTATTGTTTTAATGAAAATTTTGGTGGTGATGGTTTTGGTCCTTCAGTGTGATTTTAGCTGCGAGTAACGCGTCCTCGCTCCTCTCGGGCTCCCTCGGCGGGCGTTCAGAGCGGTCTCAGCGCTTCCATGTTCTCAGATCCTGTCCGCTCTCGGGGAAGGGTCCGGGCCCTGCAGGCGCCTGGGGCGCGGAGGCGGCGCGGGGGGCGCTCGGCGGGCTCCGCGCAGCGGCCTAGGGGCTCCCGGGCGGCGGCGGCGGCGGCGGTGGCTCTCCCGGGCTGGACGCCGAGCGGGAGCGAGCGGGTCTTCCCAGCAAGATCTCCATGTACAGCTACATCTTTAGGGCCGCTCGGGTTAATATATGTCGTCAGAGGCCCCTCGCGCCAATCCCGGGGCGGCGGGGGCGGCGCCTCGCGCTCTCCGCAATAAAACTTTTTGATGTTCTGGTCGCTAATTGTCGAGGACCTCTTCCAGGATTGGCTGCCCCTTCAGAACATAAGATAATTAAAACGAGGGGGGGCAGGGTTAAAAAAACTTTTTTATCAGCCAGAGGTTAATGCAAGTGTTTAACAGATGCTTCACTATTAAATTATTTTTTTTCTCAAGTCTCAAATGTTGACGAATCTCAAACGAGGTACAGTATAGCTACGTTTTCTTTCCTGTTTTTTTTTTTTTTTTTTTTTAAGACATGGAAAGGGACATAGATACTGCTTTTCGAAGGGTCTTGTAGGTAACGGAGGCGGGCAGGCCGGCTGGCAGCAGCGCGCGGGTCGGTGCTCGGCGGGAAGCGGGGGCAGCGGGCCGGGTGTCCCCCGGCGGCGCGGGCACGGGCGCGGCGGGCAGGGCTGCTGCTGGGACCTGGCACGGCTGCCCGCGCCTGGCTTACCCACCGCTCTCCCCGGGCCAGGGCCTTGGGGGGCGACTCAGGGTCCTGTGGCTGCCGTTGGAGTTCACGCTGGCGACCCCAGGGCCGACAGTCGCGCCGACTGCAAGTAGTCTCATTTTCACATCCTTCAGGGACACCGGCCCCTGCGAAGACGGGGGCGATTTCAAAGCGTAGGCACCTCGGTTCCCCGAATTTGTGGTGTGGCCGGCATCGGTGTGCCCCTGCTTTAACTAGCCTGTTTGGTAAGTAACCGAATATTTTTTACAGCGTGTTCAGAGCTTATTTTGCAGTTTTTATGAACAAACATATAAATATATCTCTGCATTCCTGCCTCTCCCATAAAAGCGGGCATCTGTGGAAAGCAGGTTTAGTTATCGGAGGGGAACCATTAAACGCCAGTTTAAGAGGCAGACCGGGAGACCGGCTCGTGGATGTTTAGACTGCTGGCCTTGGGGATCTTGAACTCATTGAAACGGGAAATGGATCTCGGCTCGTCGGTTCCCGGGCCGCGGCGGCTGCGTGGGTGCGCATCTGGAGGCAGACCAGGCGGGAGCTGCCCATCCCGGGCATCGGCCCCGCGCCGCCCGAGGGGCTCACGTGTGGATGAGGATTCCGCCGCGCGGCGTTCGGCGTGGGAAACGGTGTCCGCGGGAGCCCCCGGCCGTGCCAGCCCAGGGCGGAGGGTGCAGGAGCGCGCAAGCCGGCCGGCCGGGGATTGGCTGCTGGGCCTGGCCAAGGTCCCCCGGGGGAGGCCAGCGACCCCGCCGTGGGCGTCCTACCTTGGAGGCAGGCAGAGGCAGGCCCCAGGCCGCAAAGGACGCCCTCCCCGAGGACACACGAGCACGGTCCTGCCCTTGCCCGCCGGGCGCTTTCCGCGTGGTACATGGTCTCGGTGGAAGGCAAGGTCGGCGCGAGTGGAAGACGGGGTTGGGGGGGAGCCCGACTTCCGTGCTGTCCGGGAGTCGGCGGGTCCACAAGGCTCCACCTCGCAGTCCCGGGCGGCAGCACTAAGATACTTAAACTGGCTGCGGCTGAGCGGTAGGAGAGGGGAAAGGAGGGTCGTAGAAACCCAGGCTGGGGGTCCATTCAGGGCCCAATGTGTCCCCTGGGCAAAGGCTCAGTTTCTGCCGGGACGTCCCAGCAGAGGGGCTCGGGGCGGAGGTGGGACTTTGGGGAGTAGCTAAGGCCGGATTTGTTGTGAAGTGCCATTTGGGTTCGCAACAAAATAGCGACCTAGAGCTCCGAACCCCCGTCTTAGGGGGTGGTCCGCAGTTTGTGGTCTGCACAACGAGGGTCTTTTAAAGACTTGTTCTTCAAGGAAAGAATATAGGTACTGTGGTTGGGTTTTGTTTACATTTTCACCGAAGAGGCAAACCCTGAATGTGTAAATACTGGTAGTTCAGTCCTCTGACACTTGATACATTAAAAAAAATGTCTGTTTACAAAAACACATCTAGGTCTCGGGAGCAGGTAGACAAAGTATAAGATAATTTCCACCCCCCACCCCCCGGCTAGAAACAGACAGAAATTCAGGAAAAGTAGTTGTGAGGTTGCATTCAGACCCCGAGGGAGCTTTGGACTGGAAAGAAGGAAGAGACCAGGCAGAGGGCTGAGCTGGGGATGGGGGTGCTGCGTCCGCCAGAGGTGAGGGGGTTCGTGGGCAAAGGCATCAGAGCTTGTCGCTTCCAGCCTTTATGCTGCTCTTTCACTTGGAACAAAAATGGGCAAATCCCTTTCTGACCCCAGAGAGCACAGCAAGTGATAAAAGAGATGACAACACGGGACAGAAAAAAAGTCGTAAAAGATGCTAATCGGCACATGGGTCCTCACTGACAGAGCCCTCGTCAGTTAATTAATGTGGTCCCAGGTCCCACGCTTCCTGTATCCCAGAAAGCCATAGAAAGGTGGCTTGAAGGCCCAGGACACATGGGCGAACTCTAGTGCCCTTTAGTGTAGGCACTGACAAGGAGAGGCCAGACCCGCTGCAGGGCTCTCTGAGCGCCCAGCCAAACGAGCCCCCGGGGTTCCTCCGCGTCCTCTCCGCACACTGTGCTCCAGGCCTAATGGTTGCTGGGTCGGCCTATTGCTCTGGAAAGCTGTGAGGCAAGGAGGCCAGCTCAAGTTTCCTCCCAGTTTAGGCGGCCTGGGCCTGCTGGGGAGGGGAATGTGGGAAAAGAAAGGGAACAAAGTGAGGTTCTTGCTTAGATGTCAGCCCAGCGACCCCACCCAAGGGCTGGACTCGCACTGCTGTCCCTGAAAGGTGGCTGACACGATGCGGGCTGGGGGCCGTCCTGGAGCCCTGGAGCCCCGGCAGGGGTGGGCTACCTTGCCTCTCTTTTCCAGGGCCATGCAACCCGTCTTTCCCGGCTGGGGAGAGCGCGTCCCAGGGGCAGCGGGTTCAGGGAAGGCTGTGATTCCTGCGCGAGGTCTTCGTGCAGCGGGTGGCGTACGATTCTGCCTCCAGCTAAGCAGACATTTACTTTGCGCCCACGTCTCTCCATCTCTTTCCCTGCACTCCCACCTCTTCCCCTGGAAAAGACTCAAAGAGCAGGGAGGGACTGAGCACTCCCCTGCAAACCTTTTGGTCTAAGAGATATTACTTTTAAAATCAATCTGATTTAAACGAAAGAAATTTTTTTAAAAACTTGAACCTGTGTTTAGGGAAACTACAGATCTTTTCTAGGCATTTATTATTTCAAAGGCAAGGGCAGTTTGTCTCCTGTTTTGCTCATAAGAGAACTCAAAATAAACTGGACCTGAAAAGAAGCAGGCCGGAGGGCCATAAACACACATTTTATGTTTACGGGAATTATGGCTCAATTCCCTTTATCGTTTTTGAAATCTCGTTTTACCTCTTTTTCTTAACCAGCCTAGTAGGAATGACTCTGGGCATGCCCTTAAATATCTATTAAGCTCTCGTGTAAGGTGAGCCCAGAAAGAACATCATACCTAGAAGGTGGCAGAGAAAGCAATGTTTTCCCAGTGATGTCACCCCAGCCCACCTGACCCAGGGAAGGTGCTTCTTTGCACGAGCTGATGGCTTTGCCTTTCTGTCTGTACGTGGCTGAGTTGAGTCATTTTACATGCTGACCACTTAGTCCCAGAATCTTTAGGACATCTAAAACGAGTGTATTGTTGAGTGGTGGCAAGGGTCTCCCTCTGACTTCAGTTTTGCATAACCTCCCCGTCTGGTCTTCCTTTGGGGAAGCAGTTGGCTAGTGACAGTGGTTCCAGAACCGTGTGGTGCTCGGAGTATTGTCATCTACAAAGTAGAATCAAGTTTGATTGGATTTTTATGTCTGCTTCTGAAATGAAGGGCAGGAAAAGGTGCCATTGGCTCTTAGGATGTTTTATTTCTTCTGAGCATTTTCTTCTTGGATTTTGGGGTGGGGGTGGGAGTGGGGTAATGGTAAGTGCGCCCGCTTCTCTCCTCTTTCCCGTCCAGAGCAGATCTGTGGAGATGGGGTGGGGAGGGGGTGGTCCAGCTGCCCTGATGACTTTGGAGGGGTCGGTGGCTTATGACTCTCTCAGTCCTTTTTTGATTAGGAGACATTAAGTCAGTAGAGAACATCGTGACTTGCTCAGTCCCTGTAACTCTCCCCCCCCATTTAGCCTTTCTGCCCCCCTCCACCCTTCCCTTTCTACCTTCTCTTCTCTTTTTCTCTCTCTCTTTCCTTCCCCCTTCTCTTCTTCTCTCCCTTCTCTTTTGCCCTCCAGCAGTGCAAGGTTTTTGACATCAGTGAACCTGAAACTAAGGAAGAATAAAATATTGGTTCATCCTTAGTTTCTTTAAGAAAAAAAAAATATTCTTAAAAACCAAGATATATTGACATATAACTCTGTGTATGTTTATGATGTGTAAGAAGAATCTTAATATCCAGTATTATAGGCACTGGGAATTGGCATTTTCTCCAAATAACCAATGACTAGATCTTCATATTAACTGGCAGATGCATTGCTGATCTGGAGGCTTTTCAGGGGTAAGGAGAAAGAGCTACTTTGCCAGGCATCCCAGTCTGTCTGTAAAGCTAAAATGCCTTTTCATGCCAAAAGGAACAAAAGATACTGCTCGTGCAAGTGCCTGACTGGAGGCAGCATATTGTATACCCTGGGGGTGTTGAGAATGTTCTTGCACTGGTCCTAAGAGGTACGGAAAAGCTGATGTTTGCTACTCTAGTCAAAAGTAGAGTTTAGAGCCGAAGTGGCATAAGAAAATACATCCCACAGGATCTATGTTAACTACTATCTGAATTCTTGTTTCAAGCAAATTACATACACACTAGCAGTATTTTCTTCCAAGCTAGGAGGAAAGCATTCAACATCGAGATAAGGAAATAATTGCCATTTTGTGTACACACTCCATGGAAACAGTAAGTACTAGATTGCAACCACTCTGTAATACAGTCTGAAGTTCAGGATAAAATAGGAAAGTAAGCGGCAACTTAAAATGTGGGGCTTTGGACACACCATTTATTTCTGTGACTGAGGGGTCTGTGACTCAAGGCCCCTCGTGCATTCCAGCTTCTGACTGCAGTGTTGCCCGGATTCCTGGGAAGCCCTGTTCTGAAGCCTCCTCTGCAAATCCATCTGGAGAGGTTTCTTCAGCTCCGGCGGTTTGTTCCAAGCCTTTTCTGCTTTCTCCTAGGGCCTTCGCTTCTGGACAAGGGACGTGAGCCAGGATGGTGAAGTTTCAGGTTAACAGAAAGAAACCCTTTTATTGTCAATATTAATGGCAAGCCTCGACTTTTACAAGGCTGGGGTTTAGCAGCATGAGCAGATCAAAAGCAGCGTGACCTGATTTCTCAATATTCTCTGGAGCTTAGATAATTAACTGCAATTTTGCTCCTAATGAAACAACAAAAAAAGTTCTTGAGCATTACAGAAATGTTCAAGTTGGTCTTTCAGCAAGAATTTTGCCTGTGCACAACACGTCAGAATCTAATAAATTCGTCCACTGAACCTGAGTGGAGTTTTGAAGGAAACCTCAAGAAAACGTGTGAGCAGAGTGTCCTCATTTGCAATGCCACGAGCCTGTTTCCGTGTGCATTCCACACTGGCCTTTCTGGCGGGGCCAGGATCCGGCAGACCGAGGTCTCCCTGGTAATTTGGGTACACCGAGTCTCCAGTTAATGATAGATAATCAGCCTTTGGGTCATTCGGTCATTCTCTTATTACAATCCCCTCCTGCTCTCTCTGATCTCCTTTCAAACTAAATTTCACACAAACAAATAAAGCAAGACAGGGACAAGTTCTTTAAAAAAAGAGGGAGAAATATTAGAAACTCCTGATACAGAACTCTAAACAAGGAAAGGCAAGCTAAAAGAGGATAGGAAAGAACATCTTATCAAAATGAACATGTTGTGTACAAAACATTAAAAGAAAAGCCTCTGGTTTCTGTTAAAGTGACAGAAAATTAAAATAAAAATAATTGCGGGCAGAAAAGTTATAATATAAACAGAGAAGGCAGGATGCTTGCTGGAAACGCGCAGCACTAGGAGGCTAATTTGTTGTTACAGATTATATATCTGCACCATGATTGGAGGGGAGCTACTTTGTTGCATTTTCCAGAAGAGAATAGTTTTCTTTTTAATACTTGTGTGAGTGCCCACTGTAAGTTAACACAGGCCAAAACCTCGAGGAACAAAAAATGGAATTGCATTTGCTTGCAAAGAATCCAACTTCAAAAGAAGGAATTGGTTGCGTACAGAAAAAGCAGAATTCCATTCAGAACACGTTTAGAGGCTTCACTAAATCGCTGTGACTGATGCTTTTTTGTTCTGCTGACAGAAGGCGCAGCTCATTCTTGGGGAACTACAACCGAAAGCAGTCTTTCCTTACCCCCTTGGGGGTCCTCGTTTTACCAGCCTCTCTCTGTCTGGGACTCCAGAAAGACAAACTTCAGAGTGGCCAAGGTACACCTCTGACCAGATCCCGCTGGGAAAAGCAGAAGAACGTGGGGTTCTGTGGAGAGTGGCCCCCAGTGCCTTGTCCCGCCCCTGCCCTTGACAGTCCCCTTTGGCCCAAGTCTAGGACTCTGGAAGGGTCAAAGTCTAGCTGTGGTCTTGGTCCCCAAGCCCAGGGTTTTCAGTCCAGAGAGATGGGAATTTTGGTTCAGGGCTTGATTAGCTCACAGTTTTACAAGTTAGAGTGGGGAAGCCCCGAGGTGGCAGCAGGTGGTGAAAGGGTCCCCGACCGTGTGTCTGGCACACCTTGACTTGCCAGCATAGCTATCAAACAACCCATCTCTGTTCCACATTAAAAATTCATACTTTCTTCTTTTAGGCCCAACTTAAATGCCACCTCCTCCAGGAAGCCTTTCCGGGTGGTGCTTCCCTTCTCTCTGTTCCCCCAAATAAGTCTCCTTTCTTCTGAACTCCGTGTCTGCCCCCACCCCCCAGTATTCCCTCTGGTAGATCTCTGGGTATGTATTATTTCCCTGCCATAGTTGTGGGTCCTTGGGAGCGTAAATCGATACACTGTGCCCAGTAGGTGCTTAAACAGCTTGCGTAAAAGCGAGGAGAGAGTAATTGGTGAATCTCCTACCCCTGTTGCATGTGGGTCTCTTTATTTTGAAAGCGGCCGCAGCTAGTCGAAGTCTGACCTCTCCTGTCACAAGCAGACCCTCACCTCCAAGCCCTCCGGAGCAGCCGGGAAGCCGCCTGCGGATGGACCACGTTCAGTTCAGTGGGCTGCTCGGCCGCGTGGGAGCCGGGCGGGAGCCCAGCCGGCCTGGCCTCCCTGGCCGCGCCCTGGACCTCCTGCGCCCGGACCGAGGTGGGCCGGGCGGACTCTCCGCGCGCGCTCACCGGCTGCGGGGCCTGGACCTGCCCCTCCGGCTCTCTGAGCCTCAGTTTGCTCGTCTGAATAGTGGGCGACGGCACCGACCCGAGGGTATGTGGGGGCGACTGCATGAGATTCGGGCGCCCGCAAGAGCGAGACGCCCGGCGCTCGGGCTGCGCTCCGTCAACACTTGGGCATTTGCTCTTCGTGCCTCTCGGGCCTTCTCCTCCCTCCCAACCGCCGGCAGACGCGGGCCCACCGCGCTGGGCTGGGTCGCGCCCGAGCAGCCTCTGTACCCGGAGCCCCGCCGCGATCCGCGCGCGCGGGCGTCGCGAGGACCCGCCCCCAGGACGGCGCGCCCGAGGGGGCCTGGGGGGCAGGGGCGCGGCCCCTGGCGGCCCCCGCGCAGCTGCTGGGCCGCCCTCCGTCAGGCCAAATGATCCCCACTCGGGTCCCGCCACCGGGGCCTCGGCCTCCAGGGCCTCCCGCCGCCCGCCAGGGACTCCTCGCCGGAGGCGGGCAGGAAGGGGTTAACCCGCCCCCCTCCCACCCACCCCCCCGCACTCGGCCCGGGCGAAGGCCGGCGCTTCCCTCCTGAGGTCTCATTAGGAAAACCCTCACCGCTATTTCCAACATTTCCTCAATCAAGTGCCTTTAAATAGAGCTGCACAAACAAATTGGCGGCAAAAGCGTAGATCTTGTCACGATTGAGACCGATCCAATATTTCAGCCTTGTTTGCTTTGCAATTACGGGTTGGCTTGTGGCTGCGGTGGCACGGGGCAGATCGCAGCCGCCCGCCCTCTTCTGTGCCCCTGGTGGGTGGAGGGAGCGACCCGCGGAGCCCGGGCGGAGGGGCGCAGGGGGCGACAGCGGCGACAGGGGGACGCAGGGGGTGGCAGGGACGGGCAGGGGGCACTCAGGGGGCGATGGGGGCGCGCGGGGGGAGACAGGGGCGTGCAGGGGGCGCGGGGGCGCGCAGAGGGCGGTGCGGGGCCGTAGAGGGGAGCAGGGGGCGCGCGTTGGGGGTGGGGGCCCAGGTTCCCAGACCCGCGCGCGAGGGCGCGTAGAGCCGCGTGGTCTGGAGGGAGCCGCCGCGGTGACTAGCAAACCGCGCCGCACGCGTGGAGGTCGGCGCTGCGGCCGCACCCCCTTCCTTTCTCCCCTTTCCCGCTCTCCTCTCCCCATTCCGTCGTCAGGGTTTGTTGGCGTTGCTGGGTCTCCCCTTCTCTCCCGCTGTTACGCTGCTAGAGTGATTTGTCAACATTTTCCATGGCTGCTCATTCTTGTTTGAGTTTTTGCACAAAGTCACTGCAAATCTGCCGCAGGTAGTACAGAGCTCCCAGCCCCTGGGCTGGGCTCCGCCCGCAGCCCGCCTTTAGTTCTTGCGGGGAGCGCTCCGCGGAAACCGGCCGCCCCGAGGCCGGCCTCGCTTCTATCAGCAGCACAGTAGTTAACTCAGATCAGGTCCTAAGCCTTATATTTCACACACAATTACATCTTGGCTGCTGTTTAACAAAATTGTAATGTTTACTGTGCTCGATACTGAGAAGCGCTTTGAAAGTCGAAAACAAATACTACATTTCAAGAAGAAAATATGATAATAAATCTCTTTTTATGGATTCTCTCTGCATAAGTGGAAACAACATGATTTAACTCTCCGCCACCCCGCCCCCCTCTCAGGCACAGCTGAAGTTACACAGATACTATCTTTTAACACATATTCTCCGTGTGTGGGGAGACACCTGAATTTGTTACATTCAGTTTAGTTTTTAAGATTTCACACCTACGTACCTAATCCATATATCTGAATGCACCAAGGATTATGAAATAATTAGGTCTGGGAAGTGCAGTGTATTTTCACGAAGATTCAAGAGAGATGTGCAGGATTTGGGCCATTATTTTAGGATCTCATATTACTCTCTAAATGACTACCATTTTCCTTGCATGTCGACCTCTGAAGGAGGTGGGAAAGTTGAGGCAGAGGAATTTTTTGAAGCTCTGGAACATATTAAAATATGCTCCTTTATTATGTAAAAATGCATCAGGTATGGACCTACATTTGTTTGCTGGTGGTCATCAAATAAATTCATAGCCATTGGTCAATTAGCACTTTAGTGCTTTAACATTTCTTGGTTTATAATTCCACCTGCATCGGATCTTCCTTCTTCTGGAACACCTTCCTATTTTAATATTTTGGTTCTGAATTTTATTTAAAGCAAGCCTCATGAGTAATTTTCATAAAATTGTACAATGACAACAGCACACAGTAACATTTCAAGTTCATAAGTCATGCATGCATACCCATGCATATCTCTCAAGAAATAGGAAGCCATGGTAAGGGAGTGTACCATTTCATAAGAACTCTCTCTTTACCAAAAAATTGGTCTGGATATTATTCAATGCACAAATTATAATATTACTTTCATGTGTGTTAATCTGTTTAGTATTAAAACTAGCAGAGGGCCTTAAGCATTAACATGTTTTATCATGCTGCTTTCAAATGGGTGATCTCAGATAATTATGAAGATTTTGATGTTAATCCCATGATAAGTGAACAACTATAAAATAATCTTAAAGCATTATTATTATTATATAAATGCCAACAAACACAATTGTAGAGGGAACATGATTATTTTTTCTCTGACATTATCCTGTAAGAACATGGCTACATTCATTTCATTTAAAATCAGAGGTCAAAAGTTAATGAAAAATTGTCTAATTTTTCAACACAGCATTTTGTAATGCCTACGAATCACAGCAACTTTGTACTGACAGATGCATATTTTTTCCACATTGGTATTCATTAGCTTCTTTGCAAACTCACTAAAACAGAATAATATATAAAAATATCAAACTATAGAGAACAATTATTAGGTCCTACATAGTTATTTTGGTAAGCCAATGTTATTAAAATTAAAAACATGTGCCTGGCATTAGAAATGTTTCTTTAAGAACTCTTTTTTGGATACACAGTTATTATTTTTTTAAACCAATTCAGACTCTGATTTTTTCCACTCCAAACAGGCATTGCATTGTTTTAAACAGTAGCTCCTGGAACAATACCACCCTTAGTATTTTAGACTTCCAAACAACAATTGGCATTGGATAAATGCTTTCATCTGGGAGCACTTTTCTAATACCTTTGTAGGTAATAGGATTCCCTATGTGTGTTGGGTGACAAATGGACAGTGCACTAGATGGACTGCTACCCTTTGCAAAACCTCCCAGAAAATGGAGTTTTTCTATGAGACTGCTTGTGGCCCGTCTGAAAGAAATTCTGTTAAAATGTGAAGTCAGGTAAAATGAGTGAGTCCTTTTTCTAACTGGAGTTATAAAATAATGGCTTAAAGGGGGACACAAAATACAAGAAAGGAGGAAGGCAGAAACATAAAATCCGAAAAAGAAATCACCCTTAAGCTCTTGGTCTATAAACAGGAGAGCGATGGGGTGGGTGCACATAACAAACAGGTTGGTTTTTGTTTTCTTCCATTCGGATATTTTTGAAATAGATTTTTTCACTGAATTAGGAAGTCCAGTCAAGGAGATGTAGTAAATTCTTGTATATAGGAAAATACTAGTTTCCTTGATTTCCAATATTTGTTCAAAATGTAAGTACCTTCAATGCACTAGACCATCATTCTTCCCTAATGAATGCATATCATTATAATTGGTGTCAAAAAGTGTTGAATTTTTGAAAGCTGGTGTCAAACTGGAATAATGGAGTATATCCATGAGATGATTTTGGTAAGATCCAAATTGCAGAGAAAAAAGTTAAAAAAAAAACTTTCAGGAAGAAACCAGGCAGCTTTAAGTGTATTAATCTGGGATAAACAAAGCAAGCACAGCCTCTCTACATTCCTAGTAATTCTGTTTTTCCAAACACTGTTACGTTCTGTGCATCTTATGCTAGTCCATGAATGATGATGTCAGCAATCAAATGACAGGATCTAATCAAGTGACTGTTTTTGCTTTATATATATTTTACAAAATAAAAATTATGTACGGGCTGTGAAGTGCTTAATTGTTTGAATGGTGAATTTTTCTTTTTTCAGGTAGAGTGATATTTCATGAAGTGTTTATAAAGATAAATACGATGGTTCATTAGAGATAAAATAGGCATGGTAACAAAATGGCATTTGAGTCTGTGCAATATGAGCTGAGCTTTGTAAATTACAGGGCTTGTAAAGTCATGCTCTAGGTGTTTGTAATGAGGATGTCCACAAAGAGAAACTCCAATGCCGAGTGTAGACAGGCAAGAGCACATGACATAGGGGAACTTGTGCCAGAAGCATTTCTCCACCGACATTGCCATTTCTCCCCAATACTTCCGCTTGCTGTATTTAATAAAAAAGGTACAGAATTAAGAGTGGCTACAACTCAATGGACTTTTCTCTCCTTAAATCCCTTACTATCACATGGTATTAATATAGACACATTAATGATTGAAAAGCTCCCTCGGTTGTCCCTGTGTCTTTTGTCCCTATGGTCAGCTATCTGAATGTGGGGAAATAACTGGATCACACACTAATTTTCCTTACTGCTTTCGATGCTGGTTTTAACCTATAACCTTGGAGACATCTGAATAGACAGTCAACCACACATTTTATTTTCTTATTTTTCAAAATCTGTTGGTGACAACAATTCCTGTAAACATAAGCATTATTTATTTTGATGTTTATTACAAGATCGAAATGGTGTGTTCTGGTAAATATTTGATTGGTCCCAAGATGAAGCAAAATCACATTTAGAATGAGATGAATTTTAAACATCGATTTTGAGCATGTGGTAAATAAATCTTAATAATGGTGCATGGAAATAAAGCTACTATTATGCATATAAAGCAACATAGCATAGTGATTAAGAGCAAGTCTCTGAGTTAGAGGCACAGCTTTGAGCCTTGATTACTGCACTCATCCGCATGTGACCTTGGGAAGTTGTTTAACCGCTCTCCACTTCAGCATAACGATGGCAGACTGTCACAGTGGCACGATGAACATTTGGTGACATGATTCACGTGAGGCTCTGGCAGCGAGTAGGTGAACAGTAAACCCTGGCTCTTCTCTCTGACAGCCCTACAGTCCTGGAGAATGACAGCCCTGGCCACCTTCCTGGGAGCCTCTGAGCGTGGGGAGGCTGACCCGCTAGACTTCATGGAGGCTTGTTTGAAGAATCTGCATGAGCTTCCAGGCCTCCAGGTTGACAGAGTGAAGGTAATGGCTTCTGTCTGTCCTTAGAGCCTCTAGAAAGGCACGGGGCTACTGGCAGCAACCTGCTTGACCCGGAGTGGAAGTCTAGCCTCCTGCCGCCTTGGCTATGTGTGGTGTGGTATATGGGGCCTGTCACAAAGGTCTCACCTGGGGAAAAGGTCACCTTAAGAACAGAATCCCCCAGGCCAATGCTCTCTCCATTGTTTTAATTGCATATCTCAACAGTGAAACACCTTAAATATATTATTTATTTGCAAATTATGTATCTGCAATACTTCCTGTTATATTGTGTACATTATATACCCCTGCAAAAATAAACTAAAAAAAGATAATGAAGAATTAAGTAATAGACTTAAATATTTTAAGGTGAGATTCAGCATCATCAGCAGTGGAAACAAATCTACAGTTTAAATAGTCTTGGTCTTGGAAAAATGCTTTGGCTAATTTACTGTTTGATTGATGTTGTCGATGTTTCTGCCTTGTTTTGTGGCTGACTGAAGCTCTTAACCAGGAGGGGAGCACGATCAGATCTGCCATTTTTTGGTGATGGTTTATACCTGTATTCTTTGAATTATTAAGGTTCTTTTCAGGAATCTTTTTAAACCCCTTGTCCGTTTCGTGAAGGTTAGTTTAGTTTAGAGTGGGCCATGTAATCTGCTTTCTGCCCAACTGAGCCGTATAAACATACCATGCCTCAGTCCATGTGAACTTGGGAGGCGCCACTGTCAACCCCTCTGCAGCTGAAATCTCTGCCTTTCCCTGAGGAGACATGCCTGAGGCAACTGTTTATAAGACCAAGCAAGGGTATTATTTCTGACTGGTAATATAAAAACAAATATAAAGAGAATTTTTAATACGGTTTTCTTGAACCCCATTCTTTGGGCACTGCTGGCCTAGACTCAGTGCCATTTCTCACCTTGACAGTCTATGGCAAAATGAATGAGCCCCTTAGATGCACTGGACTTTATTTTCTAGAACTTGCCTTACTCTACCTGCCATGAGGTTTGTAAAGCTCTTCACTGTTTACACATCCTTTCACCTATTTCTCTCACTTGAACTCAGCATCTCATAAGGTAGGTAAAGGAGGTCTGTTTCCATTTGGAAGATGAAAGAGTTGAATCGTTGGCTGGACCTATGAAATAATTGTCCAAGTGCACACAGTTGGTAGGCAACAGAGCTGGGTTTGAACTTGTTTTCTGCAAGCATTATCATGCTGTTTCTGTTCCATCATCTTAACTGACTTTTTAACCTGTATCCATATTTGCCTGTATTGCAGGGAGACAGATACATAATACTGAATGGAAGCAACGGTTATAAGTGGTGCTGGGAATGGATTAAGAGGAGACACATATGTTAGAATATTTAAGGATCAAATGGATGACATAGAGGAAAGCTCTTAGCACTTGTTGAACATTTGTTTTATTCTATACTCTTTGTACACGTTGTTCCTTTAATATAGTTCTCTACTTGGAGGGACAGGTTTTACATATAAGAAAACTGAAGTTCAGAGATATGAAGTAATTTATCTAAAGCACACAGCTTTTAGTTGTGGACTTTAATCCAAAGAGAACTGACATTAAAACACATATATATTTCTGGTCTCCAGGCAAATGTTAAAATAACAAAAGATATTAAATTTGAAAGTCTTTGTGGTAGTTTTTGTCCCAAATTGGATCTCTAGCTTTGGCTAAAAATCAACCATGATAGCACCAAGTGCTGACGAGGATGCTGAGAAACTGCAGCACTCATACACTGTGGGTGGGACTGGAAAATGGTACAGCCCCTCTGGAAGACAGTTTGGCAGTTTCTTCAAAAGTAAACATGCAGTTTCCACATGACTCAGCATTTGTCCTTCTGCACATTTATCTGAGATGAATAAAGACTTCAGTTCACACAGAAAGCTGTGCATGAGTACTTATAGCAACTTTATTCTAAGCAGCCCAAATTGGAAACAACTCAGAGGTCCTTCAGTGGCTAAACAAACTGTTAACCATTCTGTTGGCAGGCAAGCATGTACTGGTAATCTTAGTACATCTATGCCATGGAATACTACTTAGCAATAAAAAAGGAATTGATTATTGATAAGTGCAATGACCCAAATGAATCTCCAGAGAATTATGCTGGGTGGAAAAAAGCTAACCACAGAAAGTTGCACACTGTATGTTTCCATTTGTGTAACATTCTTGAAATGACAAAATTATAGAAATGGAGAGATTAGTGGTTCCTAGAGGTTAAGGAGTGGTGAGGAAGGAAGGGAAGTAGGTGTGGCTATCAGAGGGATCCTTTGGTGATGGACATGTTCGGCATCATGACTGTATTGATGTCAGTCTCCTGGCTATGGTATTGTACTATAATTTTGCAAGATGTTACATTGGAAGAAAATGGCTAAAGGGTGTGCTTGATCAAAAAGTTGACTGACCTTCACTGATTTTCAGAACTGACCTGAAATAGAGGAAGATTGCAACCGAGAACAGAAATTGTAAACTTTAAAAGAGTGACGTTCAGCACACCCCTCAACCTCTTCTGAAGTTTTTCCTCCTGATTTTTACAATAGGTTGTAATGCATTCTTACTGCTATTTTTGGAAAGGAAAGAATGCCACCCCTTCATCACAGGACCTCTGCTTAGCAAACCGTGGAGCGTTTTAATCTATCAGCTGACTGATTTACGCATTAGAAGAAGAAACTAGATATTGCCTCCGATTGTCACGATCTATTTTTAAAGTTTACCAGAGAAGAGTTTTTATTATGGTGCTTTGCTTTCTGTCCCTTTTTACTTATCTTTCTTCTTTTATTCTATTTGAACCCATATTTTCCCACACTGTGCTGCTTAATCTAAGAAACAGTAAGTGTGTATATTGTAGATGGAATTCGTAATTTCATTCTTCAAGTGAGACGCGTGAGCTGTATTGATTCTCCACAGAGAACCATAGGCCTGCAGCACCCGTGCATGTTTTTATTTTTGGAAAGGGATAGTAGAGGTTCTAAGTGTAACAGAAAAGTCTGCCGAGGATTTGTTAAAGTTACCTGCCGAGGATCAGGTAAAGTAACCGTGATGTCGCAGAGGGCGGGCCATGCTTTGCCAGGCTGCCATCACGGTCACAGGCCCTCTGCAAACCCCAGACAAGGTTGGAGAGGGGTTCAGTCATTGCAAAGGCGATGCCCTCATAACAAGTAGGGGTTAAATCATGAGAATTCAAGGACATATTTTGGGGAAGGATTAAATAAATCAGAGGACTTGCTGACAGCAAATAGTATCTTTGAGTGGCTGATCTGAAACACAGAATCATAGAATTGAGATGAATCCCAGGTGGTCCCTGGGAGCTGGACAAAGTCCCAATGAGTTGACTGACTGAAGCCTAGGCTTTATTTGGCATCATTAAATAATCTTTAAGTGATGGCTTATTAATTATCCCTTTAAGGAAAGGTTATGCTAAATACTAGGGTGGAATTGAGATATGTTAATCTAGGGAACATTATTTATAGTTAATTTAAGTGATTTCCCTCATAGCAGGGTCAGAAGACCCTAGAACTGCTTCTTTATAATCTTTACAATAAAACGCCTTATTTTTATCACTGTTGATGTTACCATAACGCATCTTTTCCAAGGAGCTTAAAGGGCATTAAATTCTTAACTGTCAGAATGAAAGGGAATTTTCTAATTCTAACGGTGCACTTAAGGTCTTTCTCTTACAATCGTGAATAGTAAACCTTATTCAAGGATGCCACCGTCAGGTTTTGAAACGAAGCCTTTTATCTTCACTAGCTCACAGTGGAATGAGAGACGTCAAGGAAGGTTATGGTACCACACAGCCCGAAACAAAATCACAGTACATGTGGGCATTTCCAGCTGTTTCCTAGGAGCAAGGGCCCTGGAGGGCAGGGGCTGGGGAACAAGGTGATGGCATGGCGTCTATTTAGGGGCGTTTGACATGGCGATCTGGCTCCCTTTAGGTTTTCCTAGATCAAATAGACAAAGAAAAAACAAACAAAAACAAAACAAAGTCCTGAAACCAACAACAGTACCACGAAAGCTTTAATATGAACCAAAACAAAAATAGGGCTTTTATGAGGTTGACTGGAGGTCACAAAAAGAATGATAAACTTCTGAGAGGAAGAAAGAAATCATCAAAGCCGAGAGAAGCTCCGAGTGGGGTTTAATAGCCGCCATCGCGCCGCACCCCAGCCCTGACCGTGCCCGACACAGTGTTTGGTTTTAGGGTGCCCCTGCTCCGCTCGCCCGCCCGCCTGGGGACCCAGTGCCCATGCCCGGGCACTCTGGCCTTTCCGCACAGCTCCAGACCCCTCAGAGAATGGCTGCGGGGCCCGCGTGGGTGGAACGGACGAGTCCGAGACAGCAGCGCGCGGAGTCACTGTCTGCGGCGCAGCCCGGGAGTGGTTAGCCGTACGGGGTGTCCTGTGCCTGCGCTGCGCTGATGGCGTTTTGTGTGCGGAGGTCATTGTTTGTGTTTAATGTCAATGGACCTTGGGTGGTAATTCAGATACAACTCTTTCTAAAAATACTTAAGGACAGGAGTGGTCTAAGCTTCTCATTCTGGAGGATCTTCTTAAACACTGCAAGACATTAGGCGTTTTCGAGATTTCTTTTATTGAGAAGCATACATGTCTTTTCATTCGTAAAAGAAGGATGATTTATTACAGGGGCGAACATTCTCACGGGACACTGAGCACGTCTAGGATGCGTGAAGTGCGCAAGGCCGGTCAAGGCCCTGCTCTGCCCTCCCCAGGAGCGAGAGGCTGGAATAGTGACAGCGATGACGACATGATGATGAGAGTGGCACTTCCTGTGCATCAGGCCCCATTCTGGGTGCATTTCCCATATTGACTCATTTGTTTTCAGTTACCCATTAAGATACAGTTATTATCCCTATTATATAGATGAGAAACTGAGGCACATGGAAGTTACCAGGATCACACAGCTAGGGAGCAACAGGCAGGTATGAAGCCCGTGCAGACCGGCATGAGTGCGTTCTCATCTGCTGTC